AATGCAATAGAACCTTGCATGCAGAAAGCAAGGGAGCAGCAAAAGCATGGAGAGCTGAATGCTCCATCAAATGGTGATGAAGTAGAAAAGGTGTTGGGCCCAATCAAGGTGGGTGTTGAAAAATATACTCAATGGGATAAGACATTGGGTAAACAAAAAGAAAGATTTCTTCAACTTGATAACCCAATCAACATGAGCTGCTTCTGTCAGTAGCAGAAAAGTGTGTTGAGAAGGCTACAGTTCAAAATGAGCCAACAGGAGCCAGTCACCGAGGTAGTGGTGTAAATGCAATTCTCAATCATACAGAAGTTGAGCCCGAAGTAAAAACTGGGGAAGGGTGGGTGACAGGCTCAACAGCTATCTTTGATAGAAGAGGTCAGCACAGCCTCTTATGTATTTTAACAGATAGAGGGATTCTGAGGTAAAAGAGTGGATATAAATACAGGAGGTAAATAAAAAGACCTGTTGACAAAACGTGAATCACCCGAGGATCAATACTGAATTCCCGCCACAGGGGAACAAAATCAGTCAAATGTGTCCCACTGGACCGGAAACCACCTGATAGTCACCAGAACCACTGGTGATGATAAATCTGATGTAGAAACACATGACAAAATGTCACACCCTTAGTAGTAGGAACTTGGAAAGGATGGGAGGGAGCAGGAGGAGAAACAGTTATGTGAAAAGCATGGGATCATAATGAGACAAATGAACAACCAAAGATGAAAAATTCCAATGTTGTCTCACATATTCCACAAATGATTACAAAGACTCAGAAATATCTCCAAAACCTGACCAATTGAGAAAAGGAGCTATAAGGAAGTCACGAAAATAAGTGGAAGGGAAAATAACTTGTGACAAGACAGTATCCCTCCCAATAAAATCCCAACAGCAAATGAACCATGTGTAATAGAATATGTTCAGAGTCAGCTCCCTACATTGGCAAAAGTGACACCAACTGTTAATAGCCAAGTTGATTAGTCTGATGATAAACCAAAGCATAATGACAGGAAGCACATGGAGGGTGAGGCATGCTAGTACCAGCCCTCAACTGAGAAACGAAATGCTCAGCATGAACCCTGATGACAGGTGAAGGAGGGAAACAAGGTACTTGAAGAATTGGGTGGCATGTAACAAGGAAGGAACAGGAACAAATGAAAACATGGAAAACTATAAAATGGAATATACTAGAGAAATCATATCCAATAAGACTGAGTTAGGCATTGCAGATTCCACAGGAGAGGCTTGGGAAGGCACAGCAGAATTAGGTGGAGGAAAAAAGGCTATCAAAATCCTCCATGTTATGAATAGATTCAGACAAATCAGGAGGAACACGAACATTATCGGAAGAAGAAGGTCAACTCATATAACAATATAGACAATGAATGATACCTGAAAATCCTCAGTAGAGACCCCCAGATGGTCCGACCTGAAGCCTGTGTAGTGGTATATGAAGTAGTGGTAAAAAGATCAGAAGTGTAACATAAACTTCAGAATTCATCTTAAACTGTGAAGAATTGAAAAGATATTGATAAACAAAGGTAAGTTTTCATAGCAAAATACTAATAAAAACTAAGTGTAGCAAAAGAAGTTAGTAAAATCACTACTTCGTACACAAACAAAAAATTAACACATGAAGAGAGCACAACTGAAAACATTTGCACTAGATCATTGCCTAACAAGAAGTGATAGTTACGTAGAATTGAATAGAGGGAGTCACATGCATCAGGAAGGTTGTCGCATGATGATTTTCATCGATCGTGAGGTACAATGAAGTTCAAGGCTTGTTGCATGTGAAAATAATTTAGCATATACAGGACAGCACTGAACGAGAACAAGTGTTAATGTGAGTAGAGGTAAGGTAACATACTGGAAAAGGTTGTATCAGTAGTATCAGAAGATAAATAGTAGCAGGAATGTGACTACAAACATCTCACTATATATTATACTCTAGGTAAATGAAGTACAGAAAAAAACATTATAAACAACAAAATATAACAGTTTTAATATGTAAGTTACCTCAGCTTTCTCTGTAGCTCCATCACATTTCTCTTCTTGTTCCTTTTTTGATACACCAAACTTCAAACTGGCATGTGAAGATCTTTCTTCTAAGGAGTCAGCTTCTGTTTCTAGAGGTATAAATAATGTATTTGTTTATAACATGACAGAATACAACTGCTATGTCTGACTTTCCTCTAGTTCTAAAATCTCTTAAACTATCTTTACATTTTTGAAAGAACTGATCATCTTTGGTTTCTATTCCTCAGAAGCCATCCCGGGAGGATAATTAACATCAAAATACCTACCATGTTTATTGGATTGGCCCAGACTTTTATTACTTTAGACAATTCTCCTTGCAACCACTGTACTGTAAACAATCTGATATATCCTCTCCTGTTGTGTTCTCAAAAGTAGGATTATGATAAACTCTGTGGGAATCTTGGCTTATTGCACCAAAGAAGCATGTTTGCTATGATAATGTCCTATTATAGTATAACATAAACAGTCTAATGACAGGAGCAGTGATTCATTGCATTATGTTTGACAGGTTTCTATTTGAGCTGCTAACAGTAAAATAAACATAGGAAATAGATGTGAAAATGTTAGAAGTAGAAACTCCCAGAAGTACTTTGGAACTTATTGATCAATAACATAAAAAGAATGAAAAACACACCAGAAAAACCAGAAAAACTGAAATTTAAATCAGTAGAAAACCATCATAAATAATTGATTAACAATTTTGAAACACATCCATACAAATTGAATGAATACATATAGAAGTAGAGTAGAGATAATAATGGATAGTATCCATTATAGAAAATGTCGTGGAAAAGAATGAAGTTATTTTGAGTGTCAGTGCTTAGGAGGAGCTACTGTACAAGGAAGTTATGTCATCCTCCTATTAGTAGACAGCTATCATTTTGTGATGATGTCATCATGCACTAGTGCAATTAACATTAAACACATGCTAATTTAGTGGAAGTTAGCTCAAGGCTAGAGGCTTGCAAATCTCATAGAGATGTATGTGGAATCAAGTTATTCTGTGTACTGAGGTGATGTAATGCCTTGGAATTTTGTTGGATATTTAGTATGGTTTTACTAGAGGAAACATTTGTTTCACTAATCTTTTGATGTTATTTGAATATGTTACTGCCTATGTAGATGAAGGAACAAGTGTAGGTCTGGTACATTTGGATTTTCAGAAAGCATTAGCTAAGGTACCACATAAAAGACTTGTTAAAAGAATTATCTCTGTATGTGTAAGGATAGGTTGGCTCATTGGACACCCAAAAGAAAGCAGAGTGTTGTTATAAATAAAGTACAGTCAAACTAGATTAATGTCATGAGTGGGGTACCTCAGGGCTCAGTGTTCAGACCTTTGCCATTTTTGATTTACACTAATGAAATAGACAAAGGAATGATTAATATATTACTTAAATTTGCCAATGGCATTAAAGTTTTGGGTGTTGCTGACTGTGAGGATAATCTATGCATCTACGTACCCTGTGTACTTATTAATTAGCTCCTCTGACCTACCTTTCCCTACATCATTAACCCCTACATGCACCATAAAAACTGCTTCTCTGCTAGCCCCCTTTATTATATCTCCAGCTCTGTCAATTACATTCTTCACCTGTGCTGATGGGTAGCATAATCTGATTCTTTTCTCCCTATTTACCCCACAGACTATTCTATCCACATGCCTTGTCAAGGAATCAACTATAACTATACCCTCCTTATCATACACATCCTTCTCTGCCCATTTTGTATTCCTTACCTCCAATAGTTCCTCA